CTGCTTCCATCGAGAGGCAGAATCTGTTCCTCCAAACCTTGCATTGTGGCTGGGCTTAGCTGCCAACAGAATGCTGTGGGTAGGACAGTGTGCCAACTTAGGTGTAGGCTCAAACGGTCTTAGATGCTTCTGATGCTTAGATGCTTTTTCTTTCAGAACCCAGCCATCTCAATGAGAACAAGCCCATGTTAGCCTGTTGGAGGATGAGCTACCATGGGGAGGGGAACCAAGGGGCCCAGTCAACAGCCAGCTCACCTCCTAGAAGCACTACCCCCTAGTTAACCAGCAGCTGACCACAAACACATGAAGGAGCCCAGCTGAGACCAGAAGAATGGTCCAGCTGAGTCCAACCTAAACTGCTGACCAGACCAATCACGAGCTAGATGAATATTGGGGTGGTTTGTTATGTAACTATAGCTAAATAATACACCAATTGCAGACAGGGTGGTAGGATTCAATGCTGTATTAATTATAAGTTACTTGGCGCACAGTAGGCACCCTATAGGTGATTTCCTTTTCTCTTTATTTAAAGTTGGACCTCTTGACTTATAGAGAAATACATGTAGACATGTATGCACGTGATTGGTGCTTAAATACACACAGTACCCCCCACACAGGAGGAAACAGACATCTAGAATCTGACCACTAGGACCCAAGGCCGGACTGCAAACTAAGAAGTCTGCCTCTAATCTGTTCCCTCCAAGTCTGAACTCGGGGGGTCAAGGCTGTGGACAGATCTGAAGACACAGGTTCCCTCTTCCTGGGGCCCTAGCCTCCTTCACTGCTGTCTGATCCCTGGAAGAGGGAATGAGCCCACGCCAAGCAGCAGCTGGGAAGCAGTGGTTTGGAAACTTCCTGCTCGCACCCCCCTGTTGTCTCTCTCCCCACCTGGGGGCTGAGGAGAGACGCTGGTACGGAGGGGGCGTTCTCTGGTCTCTGGCAGAGAACCGGGGTTCAGGCACTTCACCTCCCTGAGGTCAGGGGGAACCAGAGCCCTCAGAGCTGCACTTGCCATGTGGCAGCCACTGGCACGGGTGGGCATTGAGCACCGAATGTGGCTGGTCTGAACTGAGATGTGCTGGACACATAAAATACAGAGTGAATTTCGAAGATTTAGTACAAAAATATTAATGTAAAATATTTCATTAATAATTTTATATGAATTACACATTAAAATAATATTTTGGTACATTGGGTTAAACAAATTATATTATTGCAATCAATTTCACCTGTTCCTTTTTATTTTCTTTAACATGATGATTACCAGAATACTCAAAACTACAAATGTGGCTCACATCCTGTTTCTACTGGACATCGCTGCCTTGGAGGACTGCCTCCCTTTTCAAAGCTCAGGCTGCCTCTTCAAGAGACCAGGGTCCAGGAAGGTTATAAAACCTGAAATTTTAAAAGAATTTGCTTTTGTTTTGTTTTTTTGAGGAAGATTAGCTCTGAGCTAACATCTGCCACCAGTCCTCCTCGTTTTGTTGAGGAAGACTGGCCCTGAGCTAACATCCGTGCCCATCTTCCTCTACTTTATATGTGGGACGCCTGCCACAGCATGGCTTGACAAGTGGTGCGTAGGTCTGCACCCAGGATCCGAACTGGTGAACCCCAGGCCGCCAAAGCAGAATGTGCGAACTTAACTGGTCTGCCACCGTCTGGCCCCAGAATTTGTTATTTTATTGTTTCGATTTGTGAATAAAGGATTTAATAAAGATGTTCACCCCAATATAATCTTACATTTAAAGTTTAATATTAAAATAATTATACATTCATTTCAACATCATGCTAGGATTCAACATTGTCTTGCACGGCGGCTGCAGAAGCAATGTGAAGATATTGTCCTTGGCTCCAGACCTTTACTATTTAGAGATCTTCTCAAGGATTGGCTGCAGGTCTCTATATTTTCATTTTTTCATAGATTCTCTTCCTCTGGTGTACTTATAAGTTGAAGCTCTCAGAAACCAAAGGATTTTGGTTAGCTGTGGCTTACCAGCATTTTTAGTTTCTAATATCAGAAATACCAATTGCAGGCCACAGCCAGGAAAAAGGACATAATGAATTGAGTCTGGAGTCACATAGCACCTAATTTTCATGGGCATGTGTATTACTAAAAAGGGACATAACTTCCAACAATTCCAATAAATTCCCCCAAATTAGTCCACACCAAGCATTAGACTGTGACAGTCCCCGTGCCATCACTGGTGTTGAAATGGGACTGTGTATGCTGAATTCAGGGCAGACAGGGCTGCCCATCTGTGAAAGGAGCAGAACTCCATAGGACACTAGACAACTCTTCAGTGAATGCAAACACAACGGCCAAGCTCAGCTGATTCAAGGCAACTTCCTTCTTTTTCTTTTCCAAAAAACACCATTTTCAGGGAGAGAAACCCAGCCCTGATGTAAGAATGCTCTGATGGCTGCTCAGGAATATGACAGAATTCAACAGGAATAAAAGAGACGAAAGCTACATTTTAGTTGTAAACAAATATCACTGAAATCCAGACCCATAAATCCATGTATATATTAATCATTATAGTAATTTGAGATGCAAGGAAATGATAAAGCACATGTCCCTTATTATGTATTTTTTTCTCCTGTCCCCGTTTTGTAAACATCTAAAGGTCCTAAGTACACGAATACTCTTTGTGAGGAAAAAAAGGAAGAAAAAACTCCCATTGATATCAGTGTGAAATCAGAGTCTTTTCATTTTCGATTTTGTCTGTATTGTTAACTTTAAAGAAGCCAAAGACACATAGTTCTACATCTCAGATGTTGCATTTTTTAAAAAACTCTAAATGTAAAAAGCTTCATTTCTTCAATTATTAACGATTCTATGCAGAATACACTCCAGGAGCTGTGGGGAGATGGACAATAACAAATATTGTCCTATGAGATGGTAAGTCCCTCGAAGGCCAGGACAGGGAGACAGTACTGTGGTGGTTAGCACAGTGTCTGGCACACAGTGGCACTTAATTAAGGGGTTGTTGATTGAACAAATGAATGCTTCCAATGGGCATGAAGGCCAAAGACACGTAAGTGCCACACCTGGCGCTGTGGATGTCCGTGTGTACACTGACGCCACCTGGACACCCACCCCTGCCTGAGAATTAGCCTCCCCTACTGCCCAGTCCCAGGGCAACGACTCCAGCTGCTGGCGAATCCAGAGATCTATCTCAGGCAGCGTTCCCACCTCTTCATCTTCTTCCCCTCAGGTCTGTACCCACCGGTATTCCACCTTTGACTCTGTGTTTACTGCTCAGAGCTCTGCCAATTCGACTTCAAGCAGCTCTCCGCCTCCCTCCCCACCCCTCCTGCTGTATCTTTCATCGATTTTTATCCCCTTTCTTCATAAAATAACTCTTCTTCCACTCTGCCTCATTCACATTCACTTGGGAATCAACAATTCACCCCACAGCTTGGTACTCCACAGCTCTGGAAACAGTCACGTTCTGGAATGAGAACCAGCGCCACCCACCTCTGGAGATCTTGGAAGCAGTTTAAGATCCTTTAGAATCTCCAGAGAAATCTTAATCTTTATCATTTCCTTCTATTTAAGATCCTTTTCCTCAAGCATCAGCATTCAAGATTTTTTTTTAAAATTATTATGCTGGCCATACAAAGGCCATACAACGTGCTGACCCATGTTACAATTTGGATGAAACTTGAAAACATTATGCTAAGTGAAAGAAGCCAGTCACAAAAGTGTAAATATTATATGATTCCATTTATATGAACTGTCCAGAAAAGACAAATCTATAGAGACACAACGTGGGTTAACGGTTGCTTTGGGCTGGGGGAGGGGGTGGGAAGACAGGAGGGAGATAGCTAAAAGGGAAGGGGTTCCTTTGGAGGCGAAGAAAACATTCTAAAATCGACTGTGGTGTTGGTTGCCCATATCTGCTAATATACTAAAAATCATTAAGTTGTACACTTAAATAAGTAAATTGTAGGTATATCAATTGTATCTCAATAAAGCTGTTTAAAATTTTAAAAAATTATTATGAACTATTTTATACATACAAAATAGCATATGGTATAAAAAAATAAAACAAACAGCCTATACCTGTCACCTGCTTAATAAATAAAACTTTATCACTGCAGCCGTTGAAGCCATCTGCATAGCCCTGCCCAAACAGCCTTGGCCTCCCCTCCTCAGAGAATCGTTCATTTGAAGTTGAAAAAAATATTCCTTTGACTTTCATTACAGTTTCACTACATACGTATCTCTAAATAATATAGTTTAATTTTGTAAGTTTTTAAAAATTCTATAAATGTATGAGCTATATATGCTTTTAGTAACTTGCAGTTCTCATTCAACATTGCATTTTTTGAGAGTCTTTCCCATTTCAAAAAGTTTATTATTTGATTCTCTGTATTGTTTACTAATTAGCCTCTAAAGTGAAGATACTCAAACCTACCTCGGGGAGGGTTCTCGTGAGATAATAAATACTAAGTGCTTTTGGCAGCGCCTGCCTCTTCACAGGTGTTCCATTACACAGGTAACAGTATACACAACAGTGTTACACAATTAGTAATAATCATATATATCATTATAGTGATTGCTCATTTCTCTGTGAATGTATCTTATTTCATCAAGTGCATTATGGATTAATAGTTTTCAAACTGCAGTAAAATTAGAGTTATGCAGAAATGCCTCATTCTAGATATCTTAAGTTTCTGGATAGCTAAGATTTAAATTCTTTATGTGCCAATTTACTTCTAAACATATATAAAGTTAAACAAACTAAAAGAATGAGCTTTATAAAGAATTTCAACTATTCCCAAATTCTCTTCCAAACTTGTTTATGAACATATGTGACAAGAACTTTAATCAGACTCTGGCTGTTGTGTTCTGCTTTTTTTCCAGCTTCATTGATTTTATAACTGACATGAAACATTGTGTAGTGTTCCGCTTTTAAAATACTCCTCCATTTGTACACTTCCACGTATTGACACAGGCCACATAGTTGCCACTTTGAACATGTTTGTGTGCTTACCTGATTTCCGGCCAGCCAGAGGGAGGACAGCCCAGAAGAGGGGAAATGAAGCCTCTGCTCTGAGCTCTCAGCAGGAGGACTTCCGGGGTTCGCGTTCTCTCAGGGAGTGGATCACATATTCTTCTCGGGGGGCCATTAGTTTTTCCCACTGCAGCTGCGGGATCCAGCTTCCACTCTACCTGCTCTCGGAGGGCAGTCCTGACCTTGTACGCCAACACTGGTCCACTTGTGGCGGCTGCCTGGAGCCCTGTGCCGGAAAGGACTGGGAGGTCAAGCTGAGGGTCGGCAGGAGGGAGGCCTCTGATTTACGACCAGGCGTCTGCCATAGGTTCGGTTCCGCCCTGCTTTCCCTGCTGCTCCTAATTATAATGAGAGGATGTTAAATGGCTCCGGGGCGGTGATAGGGTCCCGATGAACACAACCTGGTCACTCCAGAGCTTCTGAGTTGGACAGCTCTCTCCTTCCCGATCACGGCATACAGCTCTAGGCATGACATGGCAAGCACATATATGTATAGGCATCGTATTTTAGACTTAGACCCTGATCCAGGCATTAATTTGTTTAAAAGAATATTTTAACATCTTTAAGGAGCTGAGCATCTTTAAAATTGTTTGTTATTGCTAATTTTACTGCATTGTAGCCCCAAAACGTCATGTGTAAAATTTTTGTCCTTTTAGATACTAAGCATATTTTTGTTTTAAGAATACAATCAAAGGTATTTTTATTTCTTTGCAAGTCTCTTGGTTTGTTTTTTCAAAAAGTTCATTATACTTTTGGATATATATACAAGTCAGTTATATTTTGTTTCCTGGGCTTTTTTTTTAGTCATTTCTGACCCTTCATTCTCTCATAGACTCTTCTTTCCATGCCCTGTGATCTAGAGTCTAAGCTCTCATATCTGTTTGTCAGTTAAGATGGCTTTCAGCCTGAGAAACCAGAGAATCTGACACACAATAGTCTGAACAAGCAAGGGCAGGTGAGGCTACAGAGGGAGGCAGGGGCCAGTTTATCTGAGGTTTTATTCTACAGCAATGAGAAGCAGTGGCGGGGTTTAAATGAGGGAGGGGTGGCATATATCATGTTTTTCAAGAGATGACTGCAGATGCTGAGTGGAGAACGGACTGCAGGAGGGCAAGAGGGCCAGCAGGGAGACAGTCACCAGGCTCTGTTTGGCAGTAAACCAGTAAGAGAGGAAGGTAGCCGAAATGGCTGTAGAAATAGAGACAGCGAGAAGGAGCTACAGCCAGGATGCAGGTTACAGGCAGAGCCAACAAGCCACAGTCCTGCTGTGAGATGGCAAGTGGAGTGAGAAGGGAGGAGGAGCCAAGCCTGACTCCTGGGCGCTCTCCCCGGGGAAGAGGAGCCAGTCCTGGGGGGTGACCAGCAGGTAGACGGTATTGAGAGCTGGGAGACTATGGGATCACCCTGAGAAGAGAGGGCACACAGGAAGAAGAGGCTGAGGATTACCAGAGATCTGGAGGAGGAGGAGCAGGAGGTGGAAGGGAGAGAGAGGTGGGAGGGAATCCAGGAGAGGGCCTTAAATCCAGAGGAAAGCGTTTCAAGAAGGAATGTTTAAAAATGTACCTGGGAATTTGTTCTGATCAGGTATGGTAAGACACGCAGACAGGGAAATGACTGTCATGAAGGGAGAAGTTTTTACTCGGGGTTCCCCAGAATCAGGAGGCAGGGCGGGCAGGCAGAGGCACTTGGGGAAGCACCTGAGTGGTCAGGAGGCAGAGGGAGTGCAGGAAAGCATCAGCCAGAGCCTTTATTGTGGGAAGAAACGGGAGAGGCAGGAAAACAGACTAAGCAGCCTTAGGATTGGCTAGTTTGAACAATTTCAGTGGGCTCTGGAGTGGAGGGACTGTCCCCAGCTGTCTGGTACCTGGCCCTGGGGTGCTTAGGGTGGGGAATGTTAGCCTGGAGTGTAACAGCCCACAGAAGAGGTGTGGTGGGGTGTGGGCTCTGGATGGGGGAGTCTGCAAATGAAGGGTACGCTGACAGCACTAGCTGTTTGCTATCTCCAGGAATTAGCTAACTCTCCAAGGGGTAGTCAGCAAGGCTGGCCAGCAAGGCCCCAGATGCCAGAGCATCAGAAAATAAGAACAGAGAAAATAAGGAAATATAGTTAATGCAAGGAAGAAGTGCTCAATTGTATCATCTTGTCAAATACTGCTAAAAGTCTGAGTGAGATAAGAACAAAAATTTGGCCTTGAATTTGGCAAAATGGAACTCATTGGTGACCTTGCAAAAAGCCATTTCAGTTAAGCAGTGCGAGGGAAAGCTGGAATGGAACGGGCTCAGGAGAGAATGTGAGGAGAGCTCTAATGGAGCAGAGAAACAGAATGAGAATGCAGAGGAACCTGGGGTCCAAGGAGGTCTGTGTGTTTAATGCACAACATTAGGGCACATTTGTTTGCTGACAGCAATGACCCAGCAGGGAGGGGGAAATGAATGTGGCTGGCAAGGGATCATTATAGACAGAACTCCAGAACCCTGAAGAGGCAGGCTGAGAGGACTCCTCAGCTCCAAATTGACCTGAATTACAGCTTTAGTCTTCAAAATACATGAGATTTTTGCCTTCTATTTCATACACAGGCACACCCCACAGAACATATCCTCAAGTAATGTTTCCCCGGAAGAACCCTTCTGAGTTTTGGATATCCAAACTGCACACAGCTATTTCTCTCTCAATGCATTTTTCAGCTGATGTTTATACAAATAAAATTTTATCGAATCTTCAAAACTTAACGAAACGTAAACAAAATGACTTGCTAGAAAAGCTTCATGTGGCTTCTAAATACAATTAGTAGACCATCAGAGTCACCCTAGTCACTCTGCAAAGCTTTGGAGTATCAACAAAGAAGACGTACACATCTCATGGTGCTAGTCTAAGACATGCCACTGCTACTTAATTGTGAGATGCCCAAGAAGCAGGGTTTTAAAAAGCATTTTACATCCTAAGATGATATTTCTAACATATCTAGGTACCATACTGTGATTTAGGAAATTGGTATAGTTTTTCAATTGACTTCCTATTCCCTGTAATTTTTCCTACTTACAATAATAGGAAATAGGTTTTCCTTAGAGCAACCTCGGAGACAGTCTGACATTTCAGGCATAGGTTACTGACATTAACGGCAGATTACTTTCTAGCCTGTCTTAGTTTTAAATTTTTAAATACTTACCATGTAAATTACTTAAGTGCTGTTCTTCAAAATCTGAGAGTAAAACTGATGCTCTAGAAGGTTGTACCACAAATATTCTGCTGTTTTGCATCCCTTCTGTACAGAACTGGGGCTGTGCATACTTCAGTTTGAGAAGCTAGTAATAATATGGTACTTGGAGTTGATCTGAAAAATTAAATGGAAAAATGAATTATCACTGTAATCCCCAGAAGCAACAAATTATTAAAAGCAGTTCCAAGGATATTTAAAAGGGGATCTTAAAAGTGATTTCAAAGGAGTCCGAAGGAGTCCTAACGCAGAGCAGAAAGCAGAAATTTTTATTACCATCCTACACAAACTTCCTTTACACTTTGGGAAGGACCAAAGTGGGCCCAGAGGCAGGATTCATGGCAAGAGACAGCAGCTGGGAGGGATGGAGGGTATGGCGAGAAAGGTGGCTTTGAAAACGCAAGATCCCCAGGTACCGATTATTCTCATCTTAAGAAGTGAGCTTAGCGTTTCAAGTACCCGTCAGAGAGCTCCTGAACAGGCTCCTAAGAAACCTAGCCACACCCCGAAGAAGGGCGCGGGGGCCTCAAAAATGCGAAGCCCGCCCGCACCGCGCATGCCCGCAGGGCAGGGACCTGGGGCAAGGCGAGAGGGGGCGGGGCGCCCGAGCTGGGGGAGGGCCTGCGTGGGGGAGACCATGGCCACGTTGCGCAGGCTGCGAGAGGTGCCTCGGCACTTGCTGGTCTGCGAGAAATCCAACTTCGGCCACGACAAGTCGCGCCACCGGCATCTTGTGGAGACGCACTATCACAATTACAGGGTGAGTACCACCCCCTGCGCCAGCCGGACCGCGCTCCATCCCCGCTGGTGGGAGAGGCTGGGGGAGAACCGCGCTCTGCCCGGCGTGGTCGGCCCGCCCGCGACGCGCGAGGGGGCGGGGCTTCTCGCCGGCATGCTGGGAGCTGTAGTCTCTTAACCGTTCCAGAGCGGTGGCTGGCAGAGCTGCAGGACTACAACTCCCAGGATGCGCCGGGCTCAGGGCGGTGTGCAATCGTCGGAGGGAGGGGCAGGGCGAGGTGCCCCTCGCCGTGTCCAAGGCGCTGGCGTCTGCTTCCTCTGGTCCCTAGCCCGCCCCCGCCCCAGTTGGTGGCCTCCCCGGGAGGGACGGGAGGGCAGGGCCGGGGCTAGGGAGTTAGGAGAGTGCGCGGGCTGGCCGCAAATCGAGGCCGCATCGCGCCCTTCCCCACCACTGGATTCCTTCTCCCACCCTCTTGCTTTTAGATCTTTCCAGAGCATCGTCCCGAGTTCCGGCCCAGGGAGTTCCTGGCTTTTCTAAAGTGCTTTTGGGAACGGGTCTGTTACCTGAGAAACTTTCCGCTTTGCCTGCCGCCCTCGGCGTTCTCCCGCGGGGCACACCGTTTCGGCAGCCTTTAGCGGAAATTCGCCCTGCTGACCCTACTCGCAAGCACAGCTTCAGAGCAACTCTGGCTGTTGCTTCATGAAAATGTCACCCTCGCGGGGCGCCTTTTTCACGGATGTGGAAGTTGAGGCATCAGTGAGGTTAATTATCGGTTTATCCGGCATCTGCTGAGACTTGAGAACAGCCCACACTCCCAGTCCGCTGTTTAGTGAGCTGTTTTCACCAACCCATGTAAGTGGCGAGGCCCCCAAAAAATCAGCCTTAGGATGATAATGGTTTAAGCCTTTTACACTTTCCATTCATGAACCTAATCTCAACTCAGGCCTGACTGGCCGGTTTCTCAGACGCGGTGGTGACCCTGATCCTCCGGAGCAGGCAGGTGTGCAAGGTGTGGAGCACTTGGGCAGCATTTGAAGCCTGTCAGCTCTAACGTCCCTGCTTTGGATGGAAAACTCGTCACAGACGGCAGTCAGGGATGCGCACCTCATCTCCCGTCTGGAAAATAGAAACGTCCAGCAGCACTTCCGCTTCCCTGTAACCTCTTGCTAATTGATGTCCCTAAATTCCTTATGGCCTAAGGGGCAGTTCCTTTGATTCTAGCCTGGCACCAGGATAAACAGATCTAGGGGCATTCGACTGTACTATATTTCCCTATAAATTGATTGGAGTAGTGACAGGAGTAGGACATGAAATACACTGCTCAGTTGAGAAGGAGAAAACGCAAACAAGACCTTTCCATTTAAATTGCTTTGCTCATTCAACTCTGCTGTACTCTGCATTTGAATATACAAATGAAAAACTTGAATTGTCACATTTCTCTTTTCCTGAGATTTGGTAAGTTGAGAGTTTTGTTGAAACCTGTGGAGGAGTCGTCAGCAGCCTTCATGATGTTCTCTCATCCCTAAAAACCTGGGTGTCGATCCACATGAAAATAAGATTTGTTTATATTACACATTCCATTAGGTTTCATTTCTGATTCCTGAATGTGGGATACTGTCAAAAGAACTGAAAAACCTGGTCATGGAAACTGGACCCTATTACTTTGTGAAGAATTTACCTCTCCATGAGTTAATTACTCATGAGTTCATCAATACTTTTGTAAAGAAAGGTAAGAAAAACCGTGTAGTCTGTGGGAGTGGCAAGATGAGGAAGCGTGGGTGGGCCACATCCGCAGTGCTAGAGTTCTGCTGTTTTAAATGGGGCCTGTGGTCAGGTGCGTGCATCACTGCCCCATCCCTCAGTATTCTCATCCCACTCTTGCATGTGCCCTCACTGTGTGGTGGCTTCTGGTTACCCTTGTCCACAAGTGTTGCGTGGGGATGCTGTAACATGGGAGGATCCCTCCTGTGAAAACGAGGATTCATGGAGAGGAGAGTCTTTCCCTCTGCGTTCACACGCACTGCTGCTGAGTGCGTGGCTGCAGGGCCCACTGTGCTCCCGGCCGCCCAAGCGTCTGTCTCAGAAGCTTGCCCTCTCGGCGCGACCACAGCAGCACTGCACGGAGCCGGGTGCTCATTGGGGTTTGGTGTTGTCTTAGATTTTGTGACTCTCACCCTCCTCTGCTTACCCCATTCCCACTCATGTCTGCTGGGTTGATTGATTTGTTCCAGTTTTTTCCTTGGAGCCATTTGTTTGTCACTGTGTTTCAGCATCTTTACGGATTCCACCCTCACTATGTAAGTCACTGTGCAGGAGCCACTTACCTCATAGGAGGCCCCATGTCTGTCCTCTTCGGTGGGGCTGTGAAGAGTCCTCGTTAGTTGTAGCTCCTCTCATTCTGGGGTGGCCGGGGCTGCTTGCGAAGCTGACGTCGGTCGGGTGTTGTCGACATTATTCCTTCCATCTGTTTTGAAGTTCCGGCCTCCTGTGTTAATAGTGTGGACGCTGGCTGCAGCAGGCACTTTTACATGTCTTACCCACTTGAACCCTTGCGACAGCTCCATGAAGTCAGCCTGGGATCCCCACCTTACAGGGGAGGAAATTGAGGCTGGGAGAGATTGAGTAGCTCTCTTAACTTCACAAGTTCCTGGCACATTTTCAGTCTTAACCTGGAACGGTGCGTCTCAGGTGTGTACACTTGTGCTTTGTGCCTCTCTGCCAGCATCCCCAAAGGCCCCTGCTCCATCCCGAGTCCGTCTGCTTGATAGGAGGCCGTGTGCACAAGCAGGCCCTGGGCGGGCTTGCGCTAGCTGCCCCAGGCCGTCCCTGTCCTCCGGCTTAGCCTTGGCGGGCCTTAGTTTATCGAGCGAGCCGTAGCAGTGACCTGCAGATTTGTTAGCATGTGGAAATAATCCACTAGCTTTTGGCAGGTGTGGTTTTCTGTCTTAATTTCTCCTCTGGGCTTTCTCTTACAGGCTCATGCTGTGCGCTGACATACAATACAAATATTGATGAAGACAACACTGCTGCCCTGCTGCCCAACGGTAACCACGTGCATTTTTCTTCTTTTATTATACAAGAAATACATACTGTAAGGGGAAAAAAGTCAGACTGTACAGCTGTGTGTAAAGTAAAAGTCCCCCTTTCATCCCCATGCCTCCCAGCCCACTCCCCTTCTTAGGAGGAGCGTTGTTAAATGGTTGGTGTTTATTCTTCTAGACATTTTCTATGAGTTTATAAACACGTGTAAAGGTTGTTCTTTTTTTAAAAAATATAAATTAAATCATACTGCATTGTTGCTCAGTTTGCTTTTTTCCCAAGCTGTAAGGGGATATCTTTCCATCTCACTGCATATAGTTCTAACTTAGTACTTTTAAAGTTTGGAAGGTGTTCCAAAGGAGAGGTGTATCATGATTTAACTATTCCTTCTTTAATAGGAATTTAGATAATTTCTAGTTTGACTGTTATAAATAATATCCTTGTCTGTATAATGTATAAGTAATACCCTTGTATTATAAATAAGGTATAAGTATGTATAAATAATATCCTTGTATTATAAATAACCTTGTATGCAGTTTATTACACTGATATCTAGCTGCTCAATTTGCTGTGCTTTCTTTTAGTCAGAGAACATGTGTCATATTTTTAACATCTCTTATGGGAATGATTATTTGATTTATAGGGAAATTAATTTTATCACTGGATAAAGACACTTATGAAGAAACTGGACTTCAGGGTCATCCATCTCGGTATTCTGGCAGAAAAATCATGAAATTTGGTAGGTATTATGCTCACTCCATTAGTTTCTAACAAGTCAATGATCTTCCATAGCAATTTAAATTTAAATGATTGAATTGCTTGTACTCTCTTTGGCTGGAAAAAGTATGGCTTTTTCATACTTTGAAAACTTCTGACTCGAGGGGCTTGGGCTTTGGAGAGGATAAGATAGTGCCGTTACGTGTATTTCTCTTCAGCTGTGGGCTACGTCTTATAAAGATCGTAGAATTGGAATGATCTGTTTGATATATATGTTTTGGGTGAAAAATTCAAACTAGTGAACCCAAGATAAGAGTTTGCAACTTGGGCTGGCCCAGTGTTTGCATGTTGCACTTCAGCAGCCCAGGTTCACCGGTTCAGATCCCTGGTGTGGACCTATGCACCGCTTGTCAAGCCACGCTGAGGCAGGCGTCCCACATATAAAGTAGAGGAAGATGGGCACGGATGTAAGCTCAGGTCCAATCTTACTCAGCAAAAAGAGGAGGATTGGCAGCAGATGTTAGCTCAGGGCTAATCTTCCTCAAAAAAAAAATTAAAAACATCTACAACTTTTTCTTAATAAAGAGTTTCCTTTTATTTATCCAAGTCTTTATGATTCCTAGTAGAAATTCACCCCTGAGTGAAGAGATGTGGTTCTGCTGACAGTGTCTGGCTTGAACATCAGTGTTAAGGCTGCCACATCCATAGGTAGATTAGAGTTGACCTCCCAAGGACCTCTGCCCTTGGTCTTTGACCTAGGACAAGTATGAATTTAAAACTTCTGTTGGTATTAGCTGTCAGTGCTAGGCCCATTAAAAGCAGAGTTTTGATTTGGTAAACCAAAGGGAGTGCAAGAAGAACAAAATAATTTTTACTAACCATAAAATTTCCAAAAAGTCTGATGTTTTTAATACAGTACTTTTTCTACAGTGCAAATTGTGTATATTTGAATGAACTGTTTATTCCTCTTCCCATTTTTTAAGTTGTTTCCATTGATTTGATGGATTTATCCTGTAACCTGGATTCTAAGAAGTATAAACGAATATCTTGGTCCTTCAAAGAAAAGAAGCCTTTGAAATTTGATTTTCTTTTGGCTTGGCATCATACAGGTAATGGAGAATAAGTTATATAATGATACAATGATTTTGAAATGTACGTGTTAATTAAAGGAGAGTAATGGAGGATTGAATGGTGGTTAATCCCTGTGGTCAGAGAAGTTGTGTACAACCACATGTAAACATTATTAAGGAAGCTGCCTTGGCACCTCAGACATCCCCGACAGCCGTGGTTCAGGATAATCTAGGTGTGCAGCCATCTGCCTCCATCTTCTTGGGTTGTATGTAGATCCAGAGATCTTGAGAGTGGCTTCAGAGCAGCTACCCCTTATCTGTTTCTCCCCTTCCTTCCTCCTGCTTACCTCAAACAACCTTGGCTGTAATATTTTAAAATAACAGCAATTTTAGTTACATACACAAACTGCTTATTCATTATTACAGGGTAGTAATCAGGCATACTGTTAAAAGTCAGATTAAATTTGTTGTAACTCTTAATTGATTAGAACACTAAATTTAATTAAAAGTCTGATGGTCACCAAACGCGTTAATCTACTCACAACTGCCATGTGCCTCACTCTTTTTAGATGTATATCTTTGGCCCATCCCAAGATGATAATGCATCAAATCATCACAATATGATGGTGTACTACTCTCTTTTGGAGCATAGGGAAGCACATAGGTCCATTTTGGAAATATGCCCATCTGTCTGCTCCTCATGGGAAGTTTCTGGTCATTGAGTGCTCCAAGTTGCTTGCATGAGGCCTAGGTCTGTAATACTTTGGTGCTTCTCCTTCTGCTTATGGTAGAGATACAAAAGGGCAGAGAGACTAGCATTTCAATTGCATGAAGTCTTTATTGAGGACCATCTGTGCATTGGGTTCTGAAGAGCTCTGGGTTCCTAAGACTCCTAATTATTTTAAGGTCTTGTCAGGAACTTTGAAAGGTCTGAGATTTTATCCTACTTGCAAGCTAAGAAGTTAGCCTGCAGTTTCAAGGATGCTGGTAGAAGACACGAGACACCTGGGTCAGAGACAAAGGACTTAATTACTCACAGCAATAGCAGTAGCCAGAGTGTCGGCATTTGCATCAGTTCACCAAGTCTGCGTTCCTGCAGATGATACAGAGTAGGTCAGATGATGCCAGCACAGTGAGCTCTGTTACAGGAGAGGAACCCAGAGCTTAAGGAACGCAATCTTTTTTTACGAACGTGAAAATCCACTAATTGAACCATGGTATAATGAAGCCTCAACCTTTATGCATATGAAAACCCATATATCCAAACCAGTGATTTGAATATATAAAATATTTCAATGAAAATTTCATTGCTTCTTTTTAAAGAAGATGGAACTTTTACATTAACTTTCTTTTATTTTTTAAAGATTGGCACCTGGACTAGCATCGGTTGCCAATGCTTTTCTTTTTCCTTCTTTTCCCTAAAGACCCCCAGTACATAGTTGTATATTGTAGTTGTGGATCCTTCTGGTTGTGCCGTGTGGGATGCTGCCTCAGCATGACCTGATGAGCAGTGCCCTGTCCATGCCCAGGATCCAGACCCATGAAACCCTGGGCCACCAAAGCAGAGCGCATGAACCTAACCACTGGGCCATGGGGTGGCCCCTCCATTGTTTTAAAGAAAAACTTGTTTCCTATCTGAACAGGCATTTTGTTATTTACTAATGGTTTTAACAACTGTCAGGTGGCCACAGGCTAGTTTTAAAAACTTTACACATACACATACATGTGCATATTTCACTTACTCTGATAACTTCCTTAAAAAAAATTGCCCCAAATTGGTCCTTCTTTCATCCTGTGCTTTTAGTGCTAGAAAGAACCTTCAACATCATCTAATTTAACTCTTTCTATAATCGATAAAATTGAAGACAGAGAAAATTACATAACTTGTCCACCCTAGAAGACAGGATTCCCAAATGTCAGTTCCATTTTCCACATCTGCAATTTAGACTAATATGTCTTTTTTTTTTTTTTTTTTTAATCTCTTACTATCCATTATTGTACTTAAGTTGTTAGAGAAAGAGAAATCCTGGCTGGTTGCTCAAACTTTGTAAGTTTGCAATTTATACTTCACTATAAGCTCAGGGTCCGGTCCTGAGTTTTCAGATATAAATAGTCAAGGTTTTTAGACCACCCAGGGGTCACCTCTTGAGAGGGAGCTTCCTTCTCTCCTAATAGAAAGCAGCCGTCCCAAAAACAGCAGTACCCCCTAAGTCACTCTGTCCTTTTGCCTCTACTTGTTTTTTTTCAGAGCCTTATCAGTATGTAAATTTTATTTTTCAAAAGACTATTCTGAGCATTTTTATAAATGTCTCTTGGTGCACATGTTCACGAGTTTCTCTAGTTAAAAATTCCTAATATAAAGTATAAGTATTGTTTTGTACAATGTTTGTTTAGATTTTCTCACAGGCTTTATCATTTTCTTTGCTCACCGTTTCATTGTTGTTGTTATTTAGGTTTTTTAATTGAGGAACATTGGTTTATAACACGATAGAAATTTCAAGTGTACATCATTATATTTCAGTTTCCTTTTTTTTCTTCTTCTCCCCGAATCCCCCCGGTACATAGTTGTATATTCCAGTTGTAGGTCGTTCTAGTTGTGCTATGTTTCAGTTTCTGTATATCGGATGTTTTATACCAGTCAGTAAGCCTGCTGGTGACCTTTGCCTTGGAGAGAAGGTGGGAGGGAGACATTATTTCTGTTACACCGGACAGTAAGCAAGCCTGCCCTGTGATCCAGAAGGGGCCACTACTTCTGTCTTCCAGGGTTTTTGAAAAATCCTTGAAAAAACACTGGATTTTACTGGGTTTTCAAAGACAAGCCTTAAGGAGGTTCTGTCTTCTTCTCTTTCCTTTATAGAGATTGTGCATATATGCTCCTTTTCCTGTAGAGCTCACTAATTTCATTTATACATAAATAATACTTTTGGTGTCATTTATTAAGTCAAAATTTTCTTATTAGAGCAAATGATGAAACTAGTATGGGTTGAATCTGAAAGTATTATGCTTTTCCAGGAAAGTGTGAAAGAAGATGAATGTTTGCAGAACTTTTGTCAGAAGGAGCTGAAAGCAACTTAAGTGATTTTAATTTGAATGCAGCTTTGCACAATTTCCTTCTGTTTTCCTTAATCTTACCTGCTTCCTGTAACTCTCACTTGGGAATGGGGTAGTTTCAGGGATTCAGAGGACTTGTTTACAATATTCAAAAGGACTTATATGGTTTGTTTTAAGGTGCAGAAGAATCAGCGATGATGTCATACTTTTCCAGTTACCGAATTCAAGAGCATCAGCCAAAAATAGCCGTGAGCACGATGACAGATCTGCAGTGCCCAGTGCTGCAGAGCAGTGAGCTCGGGGGCAAGCCCGAGGTGGCCTGCGGGGCTTGGGAGCTCCTTGATTGGCTGGGCGCCGTCTTCAGTGACGTCGAGCTGTGCGTAGGAGAGCTCCTGGGGCTTGGACGGCTCTGGCTTCTGGTTTTTGATAGGGGCTTAATACTTTGAAAGTGATCATGTGGTAGATATAACTGTGTTTCCTTTTTTTTTGTGACAGAAATAATGAGCCTAATAACTTCATATCAACCTATTGCTGTCCTCAGCCAAGCACAGTGGTGGCAAAAGCCTATTTGTGTACAATCACTGGTTTCATACTTCCGGAGAAGATATGTCTCCTGTTGGAACAGCTGTGGTGAGAACACTTTTTGCCTTTTATGTCTTGCTTGTCTGTGCCAACTTGACGTTTTAGGGGCAGTTCTGCCGTTCCAGATTGCAGGGTCCTCTCATACACGTTTCCCCTTTTTCCTAGCTTGGGCTCACAGTGTAGTAACATTATCATCTTATCATCTTAAATGACATAATTATCCTTGCTGAGAGGAAAATTCTGCTGCCACGTCCTTGTCCTTATGAAAGGACAGAGAGCAGGGCTTAATCGTGGTTCTTGAAAACAAGCTGCTCATTTTTCTTATTCTGCTCCCCCGGACCATTTTGGTGCAGTTGAAGTTGTAATATCACTTAAGAAAACAGCAATACTCTATAGAACACATTATGATCTATTTTAAATATTGGAGTTCTGCAAGATGTTTCTTTTTGAAATGGGTGGAAAAAAGGAATTGACCATCTCTGAATCCAAATCGTATCTAAGGTCTGTTCCAGCTCTAACACCCTGTGAATCACTGAGCATCAGGAACATGGCGAGGGTTGTAGGAAGTAGTATGGGATTTTTCATTTGGGAGGTATTCTACAAATAAAACGCTACGTTGTAGCGAATGCCAGGAAGCTCAGACCCCATGTTGCAAAGACGATAAAGCGATCATCGAGCCTTCTCAGTCTTCACGCTACAGTGTCTAGGATTTAAGTCTCGAGAGTTTTCCTTTTTCAACCCAACATCTTTTTTCACATCTGTTAGTGTTTTTACTACTTTGATTTTCCTCAATAAGAACGTTGAATTTTTAAAAATTGGATGAATTATTCTGCAGTGTTTCAGTTAACAGAGACTCTGAAAACAGCGCTGTTAGAGGAGGGAAGCTGTTCTTACACACTTTGTGGGTTTTTGTTCTTTGAACCTTAGATGACCTTCCACAGCGAGGGCAGGAGCAGCTCAGGTTTGTTTTGCATGTTGTGTATTGGTTAACCTTTATTGAATTCACAGTACTGCATCAGGAATTTAATTTGCGTCTTCTAGTTTTTATAAATAAAAACTAAGGTCTAAGCTTCATTGGAACATCAGAAATACCACTTGTCCTGAATGAGTAAAAGAAATGTGAACATTCCTCACTCTCTCTTTTTGTTAAGAATCATCTTTCTTTTTCAGTCGCTACTTCGATGAGCCAAAGTTAGCTCCTTGGGTTACGTTGTCGGTTCAAGGCTTTGCAGACAGCCCTGTTTCCTGGAGAGAAAAGGAACATGGTTTTCGAAAAGGAGGAGAACATTTATACAACTTTGTGATTTTTAATAATCAGGACTATTGGCTTCAGATGGCTGTGGGGGCAAATGATGACTGTCCACCATAAAAAAATACAGACTTTAAAATCGTGTTTGTGCGTATGCTTGTTCTCAGCTTTCTTAGTGGTCCAAGGGCTGTGTGTTCACTCAGGCTTATGTGATGACGATGTTTCTTAGATCAGCATTTATTAGCATTCTGCTCTGGACTCGGGCCCTTCCTGTGACTGCAGCTGGGCCTGTCATCCAGTGACCAGCTGGTAGCTGATTTCTCCCTGGCAGTGTAAGCACAGGGGTTTGGGGTCACTCTGTGGTAGAGTGGGCCAGTGGTTTTTGGACCATTGGGTAAGGTGTGTGCTGCTACTCAGGCACACGATTACAGCACTTCCACAGAATGATAAAAAAATTCTTATACTTAACAGAGCTAGTCCCTGCCTTCACTGCTGTTCGTATGTTACCTCATTTAATTCTCACGTCAGCCGTATGAGGGAACAGCTGCAGAGTATAAAGAAGCTGCCAGGGTCACACTGCTCGTGGGTCTGACACTTGAGCTCAGGCCAGCCGGTTCCTAAGTATGTTCTCGCTCTCCTGCCTCTGGATCAGGAAGGATATTTGCATACTGTATACTGATAAAGAACAAATTGAAAGAATTTTTTTCCAGCTATATGGCTGATAAGGACCAGCTGAAACAACCAAAACTTCTGGAATACAAATTAAGAACCATTTTTAAAAACAGATCAATGAGCTGCAAGACAATTAAGAATTCTCAAAGGCTAAATAAATAAAAAGTTTTTAATGGAAGTAGAAACCCAAAGAAATAATTAGGGCACTGATGCCACTTTTCACCCTTAGGATATTTGCTAAATGTCAAATTTGAAGTTTTTTTTTTTTTTGAGGAAGATTAGCCCTGAGCTAACTGCTGCCAATCCTCCTCTTTTTGCTGAGGAAGACTGGCCCTGAGCTAACATCCATACCCATCTTCCTCTACTTTATACATGGGACGCCTACCACAGCATGGCTTTTGCCAAGCAGTGCCGTGTCCACACCTGGGATCCAAACCGGCGAACCCCAGGCCGCCGAGAAGCAGAACGTGCGAACTTAACCACTGCGCCACTGGGCCGGCCCCTCAAATTGAACTTTGCTTCTCACAGCCTGGTGTGGGGAACAGGCAGGAGGACAACAGACAAAGCTGAGGGCCTGCTCAAGGTGGGAGGGCTCATAGGAGGCTGGGTAAAGATGAGACCCCAAAGGGGTAGCCATAGAGTCAGAGTGAACTGTGAGCAAACCTGTCTGCCTCCCCCACCCCCCTCCCACTCCCGGGGGCAGCAAGGAAGATTGTCCTGAGAGAAAACATCTTCCCTGAGAGTGTATATGTAACCACAAGCAGCCCTGAAGCTGGTTTGTTCACACAACCTGTGTAGTCTAAAAAAGTCTCAAACTGGAAATTTAAAGTGAGGCCAAGTTTTTAATGCCTTCCAGTGAGTGGCAGAAGCAAAACAGATTATCTTTGGAGGAACTCAGAGATAGTTGCAAGGAATATAAGTTCACAATAAAAAAAATCAACATGTAAAATAGGCAAGAACCAGCAGAAGGAATGGACAGAAGAAGCGGGTCTCCAAAGATTTAAGATATTAGAGTTACCAAACACAATATAGACTAGGTTTTATATTTAAAGAAATAAGGAGGATTAAAGAGCATGAGTGTAAAAATAACCAGGAAGATTGGGAAAAGTTCCAAATGGAAATCTAGGAACAAAAAAATGCTGTAATTGAAAGTTTTGTGGATTGGCTTAACAGTAAACTAGACATCACTGGAAAGAAAATAGTAGATATGAAGAAATAAAGATGTTTTCAGACTTGCAGAAGCTGAAAGACTTTTATCACCAGCAGACCTGTACTTCAAGGAAAGTTAAAGGAGGTTCTTCACGCAGAAGAAAAAGGATACCAGGTGTAAATCTGGATCTACACAAAGGGATGAAGAGCACTGGAAATAGTAACAATATGGGTAAATACCTGATTTATTATTATTCAAACCTCTTTAAAAGATAGTAGTTTAAAGAAAAATAGCATTGTGGACTTTATTATATATGTAAAAGTGAAATGGATGACAATAATAGCTTAAAGACTAGGAGGGGAGAGGTATACCACAAGCATAGCATTGTGGGGGTCTTGTACTATACATGAAATGATGTACTATCATTTGAATTTAGACTGTGATAAGTTAAAGATGTATACTATAAACCTTAAAACAATCTCTAAAATAACAAACCCGGAAGTTACAGTTATCTAACAGAAGAGGTACAACGAAATCATAAAGTACTTGATTAATGAAAAAAATGACAGAAAAAAGTAAAAGAGAATAGAGAACAGATGGGACAAACAGAAAACAGATAGTAAGATGATAGACTCAAAACCAACCATGTCAATAATCACATTAAATATAAATAGCCTTAACACCCCAATTAAAAGGCAGAGATTGTCAGATTGGATTTAAAAAATAAAAAAGACCTGACTCTATTCTCCCTTCGTGAAATGTACTTTAAAGATACAGATAGGTCGAAAGTAAAACGATGGAAGAAGATATACCATGATAACACTAGTCAAAGGGAAGCTGTGGGGGCTGTATTAATAGCAAAATAGACTTCAGAGCAAAGAATATTAACGAATTGAAGAAGGTGGTTTCGTACTGATAATATGGTCAGTTAATGAGTGTCATTAACATAATCCTATTTGTCTTTGCACCTAACAACAAAGCTTCAAAATACGTGAAGCAAGAACGAATAGAACTGCAAGGAGAAATAGACAAATATGCAATTATCAGATTTAAATACCCCTCTGTGATTGAGAGAACAAGTTGGCAGAAAGTCAGCAAAAATATAGTAGACTTCAACAGCAGTATCAACCAATTTCACCTGATTGATATAGAGCATTCTACCCTACCACAGCAGAATACAAATTTTTCTCAAGTGCATATGGAACATTTATGAAGATCACATTATGGCCCATTTAAAAATCTCAATAAAGTCATCATATAAAGGATGTTCTTTGTCCACAATGAATGAAATTAGAAATCAGTAACTCATCTTTGAAAATCTCCCAATATTTGGAAACTAACTCACAAGGCAACAAATCTAAAGGGAAATCAGAAAGTAATTTGAAATGAATAAAAAACAATTTGTGGGTTGCTGCTAATGCAGTACTTATGGGAAAACTGACAGCATTAAACACCTCTATTAGAAAGGAAGAAAAGTCTAAAATCAGTGACCTTAGTTTCCACTTTAAGAAATAAGAAAAAGAAGAGCAATTAAATCTAAAGGAAGCAGAAGAAAAGAGATCAAAGTGGCAATCGGTGAAATGAAAGATGAAACAATAGAGAAAAATCAGTGAGTTTGAAAGCTTGTTCTTTGGGAAAATCAATCAAATTGATAAATCTCCAGCCAGATTGGTAAGGGAAAAAAGAAGACATATTACCAATATAAGGAATGAGAGCAGTAACATCACTAAAGATCTTACAAGTGTTAGAATAGTAAGGGAATATTAAGAACACTTTTGTGCTCATATAGCAACAACATAGGTGAAATTGACAAATGCCTCGAAAGACAGACGTTACCAGAGCTCACTCAAGACGAAATAGGTAAAAGCTTCCTCTAATGAAAATCCAGACCCAGGCGGCTTCAGCGGTGAGTTTAGCAAACATTTGAAGAAATAATACCATTTCTCCACAAACTTCCAAAAACTCAAAGAGGAGAGAATACTTTCCAACTTGTTCTGTGAGGGCAACGTCACCCTGGTACCAAAATTACCCTGGTACCCTGGCTGGACAAACATTACAAGAAAAGAAAACTACAAAACAATATTCTCATGAACATAGATGCAAAAATTTTAAGTAAAAGTTTAGTCAATTGAATCCTATGATACAATGAAAGGCACCATATCGTAGTCCTGGGTTTATTCTGGGAATGCAGGGTTCATTTAACATTCACAGTAATTTCAATCAAGAGAGAAAAAGCATTTGATAAAATCCACCATCTATTTCTGATAAAAACTCAGGCAAACTAGGGATAAAGAGAACTTCCCCAATGTGATAGAAGGCATCTAAAAAAACCCAACGGTGAATATTATACTCAATTGTGAAAGACTGAATACTTTCCCCTTAATGTCAGGAATTGAATACTTTTCCCCCTAACATCACGAACAAATCAGGGATGTCTATTCAACATTGTACTGGAGATTCTAGACCGTGCAGTCGGGCAAGAAACAAAGGACATCCAAATTGGAAAGAAAAAATAAAATTGTCTTTCTTCACAGGGACATGATCATCTATGTAGAGAATGCAATGGAATCTACAAACAAGGTATTAGAATGAATAAAGGTTTATTAATGTTGCAGAATACAAAGCAATGTACAAAAGTCAGTTGTATTCCTGTATGCTAGCAGTGAACAATTAGAAATTGAAATTAAAAAAATTTACAATAGCAAAATATATAAAGTATTTAGGAATAAATCTGACAAAAAATGTGAAAGTCCTGTATACACTGAAAAACAACATATTGCTATGATAACTTAAAGACCGAAATGAATGGGGGTGTAAACCTTGTTCATGGGTTGGAAGACTCAGTACAGGCATGCATGCTGTAACGACGTTCTGGTCAGTGACCGTGGTCCCATGACATTAGTCCCATACAGCCTAGTGTGACTGGTCTATACCGTGTAGGTTTGTGTAAGTGTTCTTACACAAAGTGTTCTGGTGTTCACACAACAAAATCGCCTAAGGACACGTTTCTCAGAACGTAGTCTTCTTGTTAAGCAACAGGGGACTGAATTGTTAAGATGTCGTACTCCTAAAACGCAGGTTCGGTATAGATTCAATACAATCCCAATCAAAACCCCCGCAGGCTGTGCGTGTGTGTGTGTGTGTGTGTAAACTGACAAGCTGACTCTAAACTTTTTGTAGGACTGCAACGGAGTCAGAGTATCCTCCAGGGCTGCTTTAGGAGTTGATAGTATATTCCCCAAAGCTCCCAGCTGCTCCACTCCTTCCCCACCATCCTGAGCAGGAAGTCAGGAGCGGTTTTATTTCAGCGTGCTCCTCCTGT